CGAATTCCACACAGGAGGTGAGCGAGGTAGTGATGGCAGGTTCTGCGAACGTCGCCCGAGGGGAACTATAGTTCTTGGTGGGGTCCGTAGAAGCTTCCATTTCTCTCTCTGCCTCCTCTAGTTCTTCTCGGGTGAGGTCAGCTTATGTATTTCCCCAGCCTCTTCCAGTGGTACCCCAGTTGCCGCCGCCGCGGCTTGTTCTCCAGGCGCCTGTAGAGGATGCCCATGTGCCACCTGTGTCTGCCGAGCTGCTTGTGCCCCATCTTCCTCCGCGTCGTGCCCATTCAAGGTCCCAGCCTGACGCGATTCTCTCTCTCTCGAGGTCTTCCTCTGCCTTTCGTGCGTCCGCTTCCTCTTGTTATTTGAAGCTTGGTTCCTCTAGTTTGTCGGGGTCCTTCCACTCCTTGTGTACGAAATGGTGGATGTCTATGGTGTAGGGGCGAGGTTGACCCTTTGCATCGTACGTCCCCTTTGCCTCCCCTTCCAGGATCCAACGAAGGTGGTCAGCTGCAGATCCAGGGTGCGGACGTTATGGCGAGCCGAAGATGCAGTAGGATGCTGTGGCGAGTTCCGTTTCTGTCATCCCTTCGTCGGTTGGCGCAAAGCTTTCGGCTTCTGCAATATCGGCAAGTCCTCCTTCGGCGACGTTGGTGCAGGAGGCGTTAGGTGTGAAGTAGCTGGTGCAGAGGCCATTTGGCTCAGGAGTGTGTAGACCCGTCTTGCGGGGGTGAGGATTGCGCCTAATCCAGGGTCGGTCGTCTGGATGCTTCCATGAGTTTTCCGATGTGTAGGCGAATTCCAGCGGGACGAGATCCACAAGCTCGTCGGAGGTGCCGCTGCAGTCGGGGACATCGAAGTCGAGCACGTACACTCCGTTGATCGAGCGTGCCCATCCGAGGTATTTGCGCTCCTTGTCGGGGGGAGCGAAGTGAAGCTAGATGTCTCGCATGAGGGGGTCGGTGGTGAACGTGACCCCGCATTCAGAGAGTTGTCCCGCGAATAGCAGGTTGAAGCGAAGGTTCGGTACGTAGAGCACATCGTTGAAGGTGATGTGCATGTTGCTGTCTCGTGCTTTCAACACGACCATGCCTTGGGCATTTTCTCGCAGTTGGTTGTTGTTTGCGAAAGTAACGTTGGTAACGTTGGGAGTGGCAGTGGCGTTAGAGATGTAACGCGTCGACCCCACCATGTGCTGCCCACAACAGCTATCCAGGTACCATTTGTTGTAGTTGTCGGTATTTCCGCGTTGGAGCAGCGCGAGTCGCGGCGTAACGATAGTCGCCGTGTTGACTCTGAGGAAGTCTTCTTGCTCGTTCCAGCCCTGAAGAACGGGTCGCTGATCATGACGGTGAGGAGGGCTTTCGCGTAGCTGGATTGGTAGATTCCAATCTTGCTGGTCGTCGTCATCATAGTAGTGTTCGTCGGTAAAGGGGATATTACGGCCCTCTTCTGTTTGTATCAACAGGCCGACGTGTTCTTCTTCGTGAGGCGTAGTAGCTCGTGCGCGGCGGCGCATCGCCATATTTCCGATGACGTTTCTTGTTCCTCCTGTCTGTGGCGTTTGTGTCTGCTGCTACTGTTGCTATTATGCAGGTGGACGTGAAGCTTGGGGTTGTGACTGTAGTACGTCTTGTCGGCTGACCCAGTTGTTGTGGTGAGTGGAATTGGGGTGGCGATTGTTGGACCGGAATCTGCATTGTTCCGTTGAATGCCCAAAGGCTTTGCGAATTTTGCAATAGTGGCGCCGCAGTTGTCGTCGCTCTTCTCGGTTGTCGGCGTAGAAGGCGAAACGTTCTCGTCGCGGCGCGGAGTTTGTTTTGCTTGAGTCCATATCTTGCTGTTCGACGAGAAGTGCGGCACATAGAGAAGCTTCAGAAATTGCTCCCTGCTGTCGGAGTAGCGCCTTGCAGGGCTTCCACTCTGGCTTGAGTCCGGCGAGCACTATGTTGACGAAGATATCTTCTCAAATTGTGCTCATGTGCTTCCAATTTGATTGCGGATGTTAAGACAGCAATTAATGTATGAGTTCTCTTTCTCCCCGTGCCCCATCTTGATCTCCATGAGTTGCTGCAGGAGCCTGCTGGAGGTGACAAAATCTTTCGGCTGATACACCTTCGTCAGGTGCTTCCAAGCTTCTTGTGCTGGAGCTGGGTTCTCCTTGTAGGAGCGTATGCCGAGTTGCTCCGCGAGTGTCATGTTTCATAGCAGCACGCTATACGCCATCAGGACTCGGTATAGTACAAAGCCCGAGCGTCTTCGGTGTTGGTTACCGGACTTGGATAGGAGCCGTCAAAGTAGTGGTAGAACTGAGCTGTTTGGAGTAGGAGCTCTAGTTCAAAGATCCATGCATAAAAGTCCTTCCCGTCAAAGACGGTACTAGTCTTGATCTTGGAAATGTTGTGAAAACGTGCCTGCGCAGAGTTAATTTCTTCATCACTTGGACGGGGGGCTGGTGGTGCTGAATTATTTGTTTCAAGGGAGAAGGTGTGCGGGGCGGTTCCTCGGTCATTCGTGACCGGCTGAGTAGGTTGTGCGGGTTGCGAGGAGGTTCCCGCGTCGCCATTCCGCAATGTTTGGAGATATTGCTCCAATGTTGACAGCTGCTGAAGTAGTTGTTCGAGTGCGACAGAGCTTATCGTAGTTGTCGCCTTTGGTGTTGCAGCCGGGTTGGGCTGGCCTTCAGCCGTCAGATTCGCTAAGCCTCCGGATCCTCCGGCCATCTTGACTAGGGAGCGTGTGCCGTTTGCAAAATTTGGTTCGGCGAACTTTGCGGCAGTAGGGGTGCGAAGAATCCCTGAGTAGCTCTTATACCATGTTACAACCCTAAGAAGGACTTAGCCACTGATCGGCTCAGGGATGATCGCAGGTGATGTTTGCAGCGGAACTGTTGACCTCAGGTCAGAGTGAATGTACCGAAATGATTATAGCAGATGCATCCATAGGTTTATATAGGAAATACAAAGGAATGCGAAACGACATAGCTAGCTATGTACTCTATGGGGTACATTCCATTAAGTTCAATCATGTTCCCGCCAATTTCACTTCGAATGTTTCTGCCTGCATTGATCTCGATCTGACGGTTGCTGATGTCGCTTCGACTCTTCTGACTCCTCGACTTCATACTCGGTAGAGTCGGCTCCTGCAGCGTACAGGAATGCCTTCTCATTTAGTTTCATATCTCAACACCCCCCTTCATTCCTGGACGTGTCGAGGGATGACTCGCTTGACCACGCCAATGAGGTTGGAGCGGTGCTGGTACTGCTGGCGTGGCAGTCGCTTGGTAAGAAAGTCGACTGCCATCTTGGTGGTAGGGCCGTTCGTCAGGTCAACCTTGCCTTGGTCAATTTCGTCCTTGACGAAAAAGTATAGAAGCTCGATCTGCTTCGTTCGGTTGACGAAACCCGGTTTGTTCGCAATCCTGACAACGCAGTGGAGGCGAAATGTTGGCGATGTTGGGATTTTCGCCTCCTGTAGCAATTTTTGCAGGTAGAGCCCTTCGCGAACTACGGTGGTTGCGGCGATGTACTCTGCTTCGGCTGACGACAGGGCAACCAGCTCCTGCTTCTGGGAGTTCTAGGAATGTGGACCCGTTGGCTCGAGGAGGAATACGAACCCTGTTCGTGACCGTCGATTGGCAGGGTCAGCGGCGTGATATGCGTCCAGGTAGCCAGTATGGTTGAAGGATGGTGTTGTCAGCGTGGAGTACGAGAGCCCGATGTCAGGTGTGGAGATTAAGTACTGCAGGGCGCGCTCCAGGTCCTGCTGGTTCTCTGCCACTGACTTGCGTGGGTACTGTGCCATCTGGCGGGTGATGTACGAAAGGTCGGGTCGGTACGTGACAGAGGCGAACAGCTGGCAACCTAGTTGCTGCTGGTAGAGTTGGAGTCCTGCGGGCGAGGTTTGTTGTCCAGTTTGTAGTTGGTGCTGGGCGAGTGGTAGGGAGTTGGAAGTGGTCCGGGTGGAATCTTGAATCGTTCGCCCCATTCCTACGCGTATTTAGAGGCTGACAGGTGAATTGCTTCTGGTGCGTAGGTGATGTTGAGTCCCAAAAACTGAGTGACCTAGTGGTTGATGGTGATGTCAACGGGTTGAAGCCGATCTCGAGCAGTATTTTGTGGAGGTGCTGCTGCCAGAGTCGCGACACCTGTTTTAATCCCGTAGAGGGATTTCTTCAGCTGGCACACCCTTGGAGCATGTTGAATCCCGTATCGGGAGTTCTTCAGCTGGAAGACCCTTGGGTCTCCTTCCCCGTAGGTACTCGGATGCTCCATAAACCAGCGCGTACAAGAACGCATTTTCACGTCGATCCGCCGCAGTGGTAGGTGCTTAGCGGCGGCGATGGCGAGTAGAATCCGCACAGAGGTGTGACGTCTGACGGGACCTCATTGTGGACGGTCGTCTACTACGCATGGTTCGCGAGCGTGCGGCGGAGCAACCACCGAGCTGGTGGGGGAGGAGCTGAGCACGAGGCTCCTGGTGCCGTGGGCATTGGCGGAGGAGCTGTTGCACCGACCATCGACACGGGATTGATCGGGACGAGCTACGGTCAATTCAAGTTTGGAGTTGAACATATCTCCGTGAAGCCGCTGCTGGAGGGAAGGCACGACCTCACCGCATGGGTCAGCGCCATCCAACCTCAGCTCCAGTGCGCCGATTTGTGGCAGTTTTGCAACGGGACAGCACCAAGCTTGGCCCCGAACAACCCCTTGCAACGAGGGGAGTACGCAAAGGGCCAAATGCTTGCATTCATAGTGCTGAACCGCTGTGTTTCTCCACCCATCCGAATGTCTATCTCTGGTTTCTCTCAGCAAGAGAAAGCCGGGCAGCTAGCATGGGCATATATCTTATCTACTTATCAAGTTCGTGATGCCCTCCACGCTTCCCTACTTCAGACCCAGTTAGCCCAACTCAGGAAGGGAGATGACGAGACGGCGGAATCCTACTGCAATAGGGCCCGCACCATCCGAGCGGAGCTGCTGACCATTGGACAAGAGGTCCACATGGCCACGCTTGCCGCTCACGTGCTGAAGGGCCTGCCACCGGAGTACGGATTTCTTCGCCGCAAGCTCGACATTTCCAGCCCTGACATGACGGTGGAACGCGTGTTCAGCGAGGTGTTGATGGAGGAGCAGTCTCTCTCCATTGAACAGAGTTACAAGCATATCACCAGCGATGCATCTGCTTTCTTGGGCGCTATCAACACCATTGTGGCTACAACGGGGGTCAACGGGAAGGAAGGAAAAGGGGGAAGAGATCAGACGGACAAGAAGGATGATGGCAAGCGGGAGAAGAAGCGAGGCCCCTTCAAGGGGCGCTGCTACAACCGCAATGAGGAGGGGCACATGGCTGCCAAGTGCCCCAACAAGGAGGATACACGCCCGCGGCAGCCGCGAACGTAGCTGAAGGAGACGGGAAGGGCGTGGCGCTCACCGTCGCATGTTCGGCTGTAAAGTTGCTGGCCAACGACAAGGACTTGTGGTTCCTTGACTCGGGATGCTCCGAACATATGACCGGCCGCAAGGAGTGATTCACGGTGATCCATGACCCATCTGCAACGAAATCCGTGAAAGGGTTTGATGGTTCTATGCAGGAAGTCGCCGGTGTTGGTGGGGTTTGCTGGAGGGCACTTACGGCTTGCGTGTGACCCTGCATGATGTCCTCTTTGTGCCAGGAATGAAGGCCAACATAGTCCGTGGACTAGGGAGAATCTGCAAACCGAAGAAGGTGTCACTCGCATCATCGCATCGGGAGGACAAGTTGCTGCAACGGCAAGCTACCGCCATCGTCTTCTCTGCCTTGACTTGAAACCATGGCCAGCAAGCAACGGCACGGTGGCTGCAGCGGCATGCAACGGCACGGCGGCTGGAGTGGCATGCAATGGCACGGTGGCTGCAGCGACATGCAACGGCATGACTTAAGGCGGTTGCTGATGTGGCGTTACGCAAGCCGGAAATGAAGGATGGAGCGGCCAGCCTCAAGACGTACGCGGTGGGCACCAAGGCAACGCCCAACATGTGGCACGCTCGCCTGGGGCACGCCCACTTCGATGCAGTGAAGCGGACAGCCATGAGCGGCGGCATATTTGGTATGGACCTGTAGAAAGGAGGTGAGGATATGCCGTGCACCTCCTGCCAGCAAAGCTCACTCGCCAAACATTTCTGCTGCACGACGAGCGAGAAGAGCAGGTTCTTGGGCTGGTCCATACTGACGACTGCGGTCCATTTCAGACCCCAGCCATGGATGGAAGCAGGTACTACATTCTTTTTGTGGACAATACCTCACGGTACACCTGGGGGAAGACATTGAAGCTGAAGAGCGACGCGCTCGCTGCATTCAAGGAGTGGCTTCCCGAATCTGAACGCCCGTTGCCCAATCCGTCTCCCCAGATCTGGCCGACACTTTCATTCCAACGGCTCCCACGGCGTTGCACTCCCCCTAGGACACAGACCCCGCTCTAGCCCGCCCTCCACCGTGCCACACCAATGCTGGCAGGTGCCACATGGATCTGTACACATCCTTGCTCTCGTGCAGATCCCAAAGCACCCGGTTGCCCAGCTGCCCCTTGTAAGTGCGTGCCCCATCCGTGCTAGTATTCACCCCAGCCTTGGCAAGCTTACGGAGGTTTATGAGGTTGGCCTTGAGGTCAGGATCGAGCAGAACGTCGTGCAGCACCACCGGCTTAACATCCGCTCTTTTGAATGCAGCTTGTCCGCACCTGCCACCCTTCAACGCGTGTCCAGAGGCAGAGCACACCTCAGTCATTGGTGCAGCGCGTAGGTCGGCTAGTAGGTCCTTGCGCGGCGTCATCGTTCACGCAGCGCTCGTGTCCAACACCCAAAAGTCCAGGGGGTGCAGCTCTGCTCCAACCTTCGCAGAGCCTTCTCCTTGCTCCCCCTCCACTCCAACATGGAAGAACAGGCCCGCGGTGCGCTCCTTTTTCTTCTCAGCACCGCCTTTGCCTTTCGGGTTATCATCGGACGAAGCTGCGACCATATTCACGCCACGTTTCTGGTTGCTCCGTGTCCCGCCATCCTGATGGCGATTCCGGGGGGTCCATCCTTCGGGTTTCTTATAGCACAAGAACCAGGGATGCCCCGCCTTCTCACAATACCAGCAGCAATTTTGCCACCAGCACCCGATCTGCCCCCACGTCCAGATTTCGCACTGCGACCCCAACCGGTACCTCCATTTTGGTCGTTGGAGTCATCGTCCTACTTCGCACCGCGACCAGCACCACGGAAGCCACGTCCTCTGCCACGTTTGCCTCCTTGCATACCGTATCCGCTGCTGCCCTCGTCTCCACCCCTCAGTTGGCGGCGATGGAAGTCCTCCTCCAAAATCTTCGTCCGCACCCAGTCGAGCGTCCACAAGCTCTGGTTCTGCGGCAGGCTCAATCCGCTCGTGTATTGAAGCCACGACTTCGGCAGCAGCGAGAGCATCTTCAGGTACTTGGTCTGCTCCGGGTAGGTGATTCCCGCGGTCGCCAGCTTCGGGTAGAGATCACGCATCTTGTACAGGACAGGTTGCACCGGCTCTCCCTCGCTTAGGCGTGACGCCGACAGCTCCCTCTCCATCATGAGCGTCGCGGCAACGGAGGTCGGGGCGTGCAGCTTCTTCAGCACGGTCCACGCCTTCAGACCGCACTCAACCTCCGGCAGCAGGTGCATGACGTGGTGACGCTGGTTCAGCTCCAAACTCTGCGACTTCAAGTAGTAGCCAGCCGAGGTGCGCTCGTCCCAATCTTCATGCAGCGCGGGGTCACTCGGTCTAGGCTCCTTCCCAATCATTAGTTTCAGCAATCCAATTTGATGGAAATAGAGTTGCATTTTCCAGGCCCAATCATCATAGGCCTCACCATTGAACTTCTCGACGGTGAAGTTTTTCAGCACCTCCTTGATCAGCGAGCCCTGGTTTGTTCGTGCTCCCCTTGGCGCTGAAACACCAGAATCTTGGCTGCCACTACGATCTTGGGCTGAAGATTTATTAGATCCCGCCGAATCCTTTCCCGCCATAGGTAACTATAACGAAGATCGCTATAACGCAGCTCTGATACCAGCTTGTTGGTGTAAGGGCCTAATAAACTCAGGCTATTTAGACTTAATCAAACTTAAATCCTCTCCTCGGGGTCACCTCCAAGGGTCTTTGGGTGCCTGGTACAAGACCAGCCCCTTCCCACAACCCGTGCCTTCCCCATTGTCTAGCTCCCACCGTTGTAGAGTGAATCTCCGCAAAGGTTGGTACTAAGAGTAAGTTCGTTATTTTCCCATGTGGTTGGTAATAAGGGTAAGTGCGTTATTTACTATATAGTTTGGTACTAAACAGGGGCGCCAACGAAAAACGTCAATTCGGGTACGTAAATCAGTCGGCAAAATCCGAAACGTGCGATTTTTGCGCACAGCCGGACATCGATTCTTGGTGTGTTGGAAAATGAAGAAGGCACGTGCGGAGCTGCAGGGCAAGAACAGTATGGCACCCCCGAAGTAAAAGCACGAGAATCGCCAGTAGCCGCAGATCGACTTGGCGATCGCGAAAAGATCAAAAAAAGGAAAAAGGGCGAGGACGTGGCGACTTCGGAGCGGGCGAAAAAATGGAGAAAATGATGGCGCAAATTTAAAACGTCACGACTGGCCGGTACCAGCAGAAATCGCCGAGACGAAAAGAGACTCCGCAAAAAAAGACTCTGCACTGACCGAGAAACTCCAGCCGAACACCGAGAGTAAGAACTCGTTAAAGTTATCCTAAAAAATATTTTAACTAAGAATATGAGTTCTCGTGGTTTGAAAGCCTTTGAAAAAAAAAAATTGAGAGTTAGAGGCTAAGAAAAAGCATTTAGAAATAGTACCGTTACGAGATAAGTTGGGGATCCAACTCCGGAGCGTTGAAAAGGGTCGAGCGTTCCGATAAGTTAATATTCTCTCCCAGCAGCACAGTGTTAAGGCTCCCCGTTCCCCACAGGTGAAGCCTACACAGCTGCAAAAGCTTAGGGGAAGTTTCCAGGCCCATGAGAACCCGAATCGGCCTCGGATAAATCCTTCTAACCCCACTCAGGCGAAAACTGATATTGAGTCTACAGCTTCAAGAGTAGGACCTAGGGATAATATACTTGATGTACCCTATGATCCTATAAGCAAGACCATGTATGGCTACTCGGAGCGGCAACAACCACTACAGCTCGAGGTGCTCTGCAAAGGGCAACGCCTCCAGGCTATGGTGGATAGTGGAGCGTCTCACTTGGTGTGCGACCGCGGGACGTTGGAGAAAATTGGGGAGTCCTCGGTAGAGACCTAGTTCACAGCAACGATGGTGGACGGTACGAAGCTTCTCATCCACAGCAAGTCAACACTGCAGCTGCACATAGGTGCGTTGAGGTGGAAGCCGACGTTGCCGATCACAAACATCAAGGGACTGGATTTCATCTTGGGGTGTGATTTTCTGAAGCGGTTCAACCCTGAGATCGACTGGGTCAACCGGAAGGCGACAACAATGGAAAACGTGTGGAGCTGCGAAGCTGGACGGATACAGGGGATGTTCCTGAAACGACACTTGCACGGTTCGAACGGACAACACGGGTTACATAGCACTAGTGATGGCAGCAGCAGAGGAGGATAAACCGAACTCAGATACCAAAACTACAGTCTACACTGGCCACTGCAGTCTCAAATACCTCAAGTCGCAGCCTATGCTCTCACGACGACAAGTGCGGTGGATGGACTACCTGGAAACAGACTTCCACTACGACATCGTCTACAAGCCAGGGCTACACAACAAGGCCGACGGGCTGAGCCGCCCAGGGCATGTAACAGGCATCCGGCTCGACGGGATGATCCCTCTTCTCAACGGTCTAATCCAACATGGGTATTTCGTGGACGCAGAAATCGCTACAGCACAGAAACAAAAGCCACAGTGGGAGAAAGACTTAGCGGTAAGGAAAGGTTCAGGAAACACGTGGGTACCGAACTGTGCCCCACTCCGACAGATCTTACTAGAGGAGTTTCACGACTTAGCATACGCAGGACATTTCGGGAGTAACAAGACATTACCAGGGATAGCTAAGAATTGCTTCTGGCCCCGGATGGCAGCAGACGTGCAGCAGTTCGTCACCTCATGTGACACGTGCCAGCGGATGAAGAGTAGCAAGCAGAAAAAAGCAGGGTCACTTCAGCCTCTACCCGTACCGGAGCAGCCATGGCAAGTCGTTAGCCTCGACTATATTACTGGGCTTCCTTCGACCTTACGAGGGCATGAATCTATACTCGTGATGATCGACAAGTTCTCTAAAATGGGACATTTTATCCCGACCAACGCCACGATTACTTCTGAAGCAACTTCTCGCCTCTTTATTCGACCGCATCATCACCATCCACGGCATCCCCGCTACACTCATCTCGGACAGGGACCCAAAGTTCACAAGTTATGGCGGGAACTCATGGGTTATGTTGGGGACAAAGCTTGCGATGTCTTTGTTAGAGACTAAGGACGGAGTCTATGAAGATTAGGTGCCTAAATTTCTCAAAATCGTTGGTCCCTATTTCTGGACAGAATAGTTGCGCTCACAAGAAACGCCGTCGACGAAAAGTGCACAGTCAAAACTTCACTAAACTCATATATGTTGTAGCCCTACTCCGTGGCTACAATTCCCAAGTTGAAACGTATCAAGAGGTGAAGTAAATCTCGACTTATCAATTTCGGCGTACAGGGGGGTATGCTGCCATAAGAACTTAACTCAATCACAAAGTTCACACAAGAGAATTGGAGTAGCACTAAACCAGGTGGAAGGGATGAGGAGGACGAGAGGGAAGATCCCAAGAGAGTCCCCAACCAAGGAAACCCCATGCCATACAATTCCCTTCCCCATAGGCAACCCAACTTTGACCTTTGTCACTATCCCAACCTCCACAATCCACCTCAACCCAACTTG